GGCAGCAGCGGCTTCGGATCGAAGAGCAGCGGCGGCAGCGGCTTCGAGTCCGTGACGAGTAAGGGAGAGGGGAGAGGGGAGAGGGGAGAGGGGAGAGGGGAGAGGGGAGAGGGGAGAGGGGAGAGGGGAGAGGGGAGAGGGGAGAGGGGAGAGGGGAGAGGGTGGTGGTGGTGGTGGTGGTGGATCGTAACCGCACACGCGAACAGCTGGTCCGGTGGTTGGGTTTCGGTGGGCACGACGGTGGGCGTGCACGTAAGTAGGTACCGGAGCGTGTCGCTCGGCACGAAGCTTCGGGTCTTCTCGGCCACGGTCATTCCCTCGCTTCTCTACGCTTGCGGAACGTGGCAACCCCCCCCCCCCTAATGGAACATCTTCGCCGGTTAGAAACATTTAGGCTGGCCCTGCCTACGATCCATCCTGGGTTTCACCTGCAGGCTGGATTGTGCGAGGAGCTCACAAATCCTTGAAAGATCTGGGCAGGGTCCCGTCGGTGAGCTCCTCCGGCGGGGAAGGCTGCGATGGCTGGGTCATGTAGCCCGCATTCCCAGCCACCGCATGCCGAAACAGCTTTTGTTCGGCCGGGTAGAGGGGGCTAAACGGGCGAGGCACGGGCTAGAGAAGAGATGGAGTGACGTGGTACAGGAGGACGTGGAGCTGAGTGGACTTGCCGATGACCGGTACCAGCGGTGTCAAGATCGGCCTCTGTGGAGGAGGCTCGTGAAGGATGCTACTGGGCAGTTGGAGGCAGTCGCCCTCCAACAACAACGGAGGGCGGAGAAGCGACGCTCACATCAACGAGCGGAGCGCCGGGTGGCTAAAGCACAGCAGGTTGGCACAGTAGGGGGCACAGGTGGTGCATCAGCCAGTCATCTCAGTCAGTCGACCCGTGGCACCTGGGTCTGCCCCGTGACCTCCTGCCAGCGGGCGTTCGACACTTCACGTGGCCTCAGGGTGCACATAGCCTGGCACAAGCGTCGTGGTGACGTCACCGCCACTTAGTGGCGAATGGCCATTGTTGTTGTTGTTTTTGTTTTTGAAAGACTCAGGGTTCGTATGATGCTGTGCGTGGTTTGTGAGTGCGTGAGTGTAATTGAGACTCAGGGTTGGTATGATGCCGTGTGAGTGAGACTCAGGGTTGGTATGATGCCGTGTGAGTGAGACTCGGGGTTGGTATGATGCTGTGTGAGTGAGACTCAGGGTTGGTATGATGCCGTGTGTGTGTGTGTACAAGGCTCGGGGTTGGTATGACGCTGCGTCTAAATAAGGGAGGTTGCTGTTCAAGACGATGCAGTTTGGGTTTCCATGAACCTCCTAACCCCTCTCGTTGTGTTTCTCGTTACAGAGATAAGTGACCACGACCTAATGAGGTGGGTGTGTGGGTGGGTGGGTGGGTGAGTGGGTGGGTGGGTGAGTGGGTGGGTGAGTGAGTGGGTGGGTGAGTGTGTGGGTGGGTGGGTGGGTGAGTGGGTGGGTGAGTGGGTGGGTGGGTGGGTGAGTGAGTGGATGTGTGAGTCGGTGAGTGAGTGAGTGAGTGTATGTGTGAGTGAGTGAGTGAGTGGGTGAGTGAGTGAGTGGGTGGGTGAGTGGGATGGTGAGTGGGTGGGTGAATGGCTGTGTGGGTGGGTGAGTGGGTGAGTGAGAGTAAGAGTGGGTGAGTGAGTGAGTGGGTGGGTGGATGGGTTGGATGGTGACTAAGTGGGTGAGTGAGTGGGTGGGTGAGCGAGTGAGTGTGTGGGTGGGTGGGTGTGTGGGTGGGTGAGTGGGTGGGTGAGTGGGATGGTGAATGAGTGGGTGGGTGAATGCCTGTGTGGGTGAGTGAGTGTGTGGGTGAATGGCTGTGTGGGTGGGTGAGTGGGTGAGTGAGAGTAAGAGTGGGTGAGTGAGTGAGTGAGTGGGTGGGTGGGATGGTGTGTGGGTGGGTGAATGTGTGTGTGGGTGGGTGAGTGAGTGGGTGGGTGAGTGGGATGGTGAATGAGTGGGTGGGTGAATGGCTGTGTGGGTGGGTGAATGGCTGTGTGTGTGGGTGGGTAAGTGAGTGGAGTGAGTGGGACGGTGATTGAGTGGGTGGGATGGTGAGTGAGTGAATGGGTGAGTGGGTGGTTGAGTGTGTGAGTGGGTGGTTGAATGGGTGAGTGGGTGGGTGAGTGAGTGGGTGAGTGAGTAGGTGGGTGAATGTGTGAGTGGGTGAGTGTTTGAGTGGGTGGTTGAATGGGTGGGTGAATGGGTGTGTGAGTGGGTGAGTGAGTGAGTGGGTGGGTGGGTGAATGGGTGAGTGAGTGGGTGAGTGAGTGGGTGGGTGGGTGAGTGGATGGGTGAGCGAGCGGGTGAGTGAATGAGTGGAGGGGAGGGGAGTCAGACATCCGGATGTCCAGGCCTCTAACCCTCTCCGTCGTTCCTGTCCATTCACTCCACAGTGCAAAGGGCGCCACCATCACTGCCAAAAAGGAGGAGTCTCCAGAGAAGGGTGAGACGTGTGGTCGTGTACAGGCCTCCCCCTAGGTCCACTCAGCCTCAAAAGATCTCCACTGGGGGCGTGGTGCTGGTCACACTCACCCTCATGTACCGCTGTGCCGGTAGCCTTCATAGGTTGCTGCTGCTACTCGTTACGAACAGCACTTGCCCCTGCAGTCTGTTAGAGGCTACACGGGGGATCTTTGTCTGTGTCTGTGTGTGAGAGGTGCCAGCTAACAGCACTTGCCCCTGCAGTCTGTGAGAGGCTACACGGGGGATCTTTGTCTGTGTCTGTGTGTGAGAGGTGCCAGCTTACAGCACTTGCCCCTGCAGCCTGTTAGAGGCTACACGGGGGATCTTTGTCTGTGTCTGTGTGTGAGGTGCCAGCTAACAGCACTTGCCCCTGCAGTCTGTTAGAGGCTACACGGGGGATCTTTGTCTGTGTCTGTGTGAGAGGTGCCAGCTAACAGCACTTGTCCCTGCAGTCTGTGAGAGGCTACACGGGGGATCTTTGTCTGTGTCTGTGTGTGAGAGGTGCCAGCTTACAGCACATGCCCCTGCAGCCTGTTAGAGGCTACACGGGGGATCTTTGTCTGTGTCTGTGTGTGAGGTGCCAGCTAACAGCACTTGCCCCTGCAGTCTGTTAGAGGCTACACGGGGGATCTTTGTCTGTGTCTGTGTGAGAGGTGCCAGCTAACAGCACTTGTCCCTGCAGTCTGTGAGAGGCTACACGGGGGATCTTTGTCTGTGTCTGTATGTGAGAGGTGCAGCTTACAGCACATGCCCCTGCAGCCTGTTAGAGGCTACACGGGGGATCTTTGTCTGTGTCTGTGTGTGAGGTGCCAGCTAACAGCACTTGCCCCTGCAGCCTGTTAGAGGCTACACGGGGGACCTTTGTCTGTGTCTGTGAGGTGCCAGCTAACAGCACTTGCCTCTGCAGCCTGTTAGAGGGTACACGGGGTGATCTTTTGTCTTTAATTATACCCCCAGACAAATACTCACAGAGGCGAGGTAATCAACATCTCCTAGTCCACCGTGGCACCTGCGGGCCAACGTAACTCGTCATCACCATCGTCATCATCATCATCACCAGTGGGCGTGGTAGTCACCACGGCGTCCTGTCAAACCAATCTCCCTCCATCCCTCCATCTCCTCCCCCCCCCTGGCGCAGTGCAACATAAGAAGCAGACGGTGATCATCACCCAGACCATCATCGATGGCCACATCGTTGAGGAGAGCCAGGAGATCGCCGAGACCAAATTCGTCGACTGAGGCCACGTGCCGTGACGTGACGACCGCCTCCACGCATGCCGTGACGTCGCTTCCTGTCGCGACGTCACTTCCCCTCGTGACGTCGTCACCTCCCCCACGCCCCCGCCCTCCCCGCGCCGTGACGTCGTCGCGGATTCTGCTGTCGGTTGTCGCCATCCGCCTGTGCTCTGTGCCTTGGGGTCGCTTGCACACTCACACACATACACATACATACACATACACACATACATACACACACATACACACTCACACACACACACACACAGACACACATACACACACACACATACACACACACTCACACACATACATACACACATACACACACACACATACACACACATACACACACGTACACACACATACACACACACATACACTTACACACTCACACACACATACACTTACACACGTACACACACATACACATACACACACACATACACTTACACACACTCACACACATACACATACACACATACACTTACACACACTCACACACATACACACACATATACACACACACATACACATACATACACTAGCACATATACATACACACATACACACATACACACTCACACACACATACACACACATACATACACTTACACACACTCACACACATACACATACACACACATATACACACACACATACACATACATACACACTCACACACACACATACACACACATACATACACACACACATACACACATACATACACACATGCATACATACACACACATACACACACATACACACATACATACACACACACACATACACACATACACACATACACACGTGCGCACACACACTTACATACACACACACGTACACATACACACACATACACACATACATACACACATACACATACATACACACACGTACACACACACACACATACACACGTGCACACACACACTTACATACACACACATACACACACACACTGGCACACACACACGTACACTTACACACACGCACGTACACACATGCACGTTCACAAGCACGCACACACACGCACGTACACACGCACGCACACACGCGCACGTACACACTACCAAAGCAACCACACACTGACGTACGTACACATGCAGTCAGCCTGTTAACGCTTATTCCCGGGGCGACGGGGTCTTGGTGGTTGTGAGTGGTGGTGGTGGGTCTCTGTCTCTGTGGTGTAAGTTGGGGCGACAATAAACATTTTGCTGTGGGAGTTCAGTCGCCATCATCTCTTCGATGAGTGCTTGGCCATGTACACACACACGTACCATGTACACACACACGTACACACACGTACACACACACACGTACACACAAACGCGTAACACAAACGCGTAACACACACACACGTACAACAACCGCCAAATCGCCGCTAAGTGGCGATGACATCACCACGGCACGTTGAGGCCACGTGAAGTGTCGAATGCCCGCTGGCAGGAGGTCATGGGGCAGACCCAGATGCCACGGGTCGACTGACTGAGATGACTGGCTGATGCACCACCTGTGCCCCCTACTATGCCAACTTGGTGTGTTTTATCCACCCAGCGCTCCACTCGTTGTTGTGAGCGTCGCTCCTCCGCCCTCCGTTGTTGTTGGAGGGCGACTGCCTCCAACTGCCCAGTAGCGTCCTTCACGAGCCTCCTCCACAGAGGCCGATCTTGACATCGCTGGTACCGGTCATCGGCAAGTCCACTCAGCTCCACGTCCTCCTGTACCACATCACTCCATCTCTTCTCTAGCCCGTGCCGCGCCCACTTAGCCCCCTCAATCCGGCCGAACAAAAGCTGTTTAGGCATGCGGTGGCTGGACATGACCCAGCCAATGCAGCCTTCCATGCCGGAGGAGCTCACCGATGGGACCTTGCCCAGATCTTTCAAGGATTTGTGAGCTCTTCACACAATCCAGCCTGGTTACACCCAGGATGGATCGTAGGCAAGCCAGCCTAAATGTTTCTAACCGGCAGAGATGTTCAATTAGGGGGGTCCACGTTTCTCAAGCGTAGAGAAGGGAGGGAATGACCATGGCCGAGAAGACCTGAAGCTTAGTGCGGAGCGACAGACCACGTAGCTTCCACACAGCAGCGTTACGCAGCCGATGAAAAGATATTGCCGTTCGAATGATTCGGCGTGAGACCTCTGCTGTCGAACTGGAGCCGGTCATGAGCACACTGCCCAGGTATGGGAAACTCTCCACTCTATCCACAATTGCCGCATCACCGATTGGCAGTTGTGGTGGTGGAGCGCCCGATGGTAAAAAATAACCCAGGCAGGTGCTTTGTTTTGTTGGTGCTGATGGTAAGGCCCCAACCTCTTAGTGGCAAGCTCCAGGTTCAGCAGCAGCGCCTCCAACTGCTCATTGGAGTGAGCAGCAATCACCAAATCATCGTCATACACAACGTGGTTGAGCAATAGGGAGCCATCCCTTGACCGCACCCGGGCATCGATCAGCCTCCCATTGTATTGGAATAGAATGTTGTGGCAAGTGCAGCTCCTGAGCTAAGTTCGACACCAGAATCTGACTCTCACAGAGACGCGTTATAGACGGAGTATGACATCGGGATAGAGTGATGTGGTGCCAAGAGCCCCTGACCTAAGTTCGACACCAGAATCTGACTTTAACAGAGTCGCGTTATAGACGAAGTTTGACACCGGGATAGAGTGATGTGGTGCTTACAGCCGCTGAGCTAAGTTCGACACCAGAATCTGACTTTAACAGAGTCACGTTATAGACGGAGTTTGACACCGGGATAGAGTGATGTGGGGCAACAGCCGCTAAGCTAAGTTCGACACCAGAATCTGACCCTCACAGAGACGCGTTATAGACGGAGTTTGACATCGGGATAGAGTGATGTGGTGCCAACAGCCCCTGAGCTAAGTTCGACACCAGAATCTGACTTTAACAGAGACGCGTTATAGACGAAGTTTGGCATCGGGATAGAATGATGTGGTGTCTACAGACCCTGACCTAAGTTCGACACCAGAATCTGACTTTAACAGAGACGCGTTATAGACGGAGTATGACATGGGGATAGAGTGATGTGGTGCCAACAGCCGCTGAGCTAAGTTCGACACCAGAATCTGACCCTCACAGAGACACGTTATAGACGGAGTTTGACATCGGGATAGAGTGATGTGGTGCCTATAGCCGCTGAGCTAAGTTCGACACCAGAATCTGACTTTAACAGAGACGCGTTATAGACGGAGTTTGACACCGGGATAGAGTGATGTGGTGCCAAGAGCCCCTGAGCTAAGTTCGACACCCAGAATCTGACTCTCACAGAGACGAGTTATAGACGAAGTTTGACATCGGGATAGAGTGATGTGGTGCCAACAGCCCCTGAGCTAAGTTCGACACCAGAATCTGACTTTAACAGAGACGCGTTATAGACGGAGTTCGACATCGGGATAGAGTGATGTGGTGCCTACAGACCCTGAGCTAAGTTCGACACCAGAATCTGACTTTAACAGAGACGCGTTATAGACGGAGTTTGACATTGGGATAGAGTGATGTGGTGCCAAGAGCCCCTAACCTAAGTTCGACACCAGAATCTGACTTTAACAGATACGCGTTGTAGACGGAGTTTGACATCGGGAAAGAGTGTCTAAATAAACAATTAAACTCGACATCGCCATGCGGTGTGCTAACCACCGTGCCACCGCTCCCCACTCCAACAGGCGGCGCTAGAGATCAAACCACTAAACACATTTTAAACCGTGGCCAGAAACCACGACCCGGACCGCCTTTGTCTCCCCATGCTGATCTTTCACACGGCCGCGACACCCCGGTACGTATTTGAGGCTGAGCCGACCTAGGGGAGGGGTTCAGGTACCGGTTCGGGTGGTGTTGGTGGCCGTGAGTGGGAATCGAACTCGGGTCGCCGGGTTCGTAGCGCTGACCAATACACCCACCGCTCCCCATTGCATACACACACACGTACATACACACACGAACATACACACGCATACACACACGTTCACACAAACGTACATTCACACACGTACATACACACGTACATACACATACACACAAAACAAAGATCCCCCATATAGCCTTAACAGACTGTAGGGGCAAGTGTTGTTAGCGAGCACCTATGAAGGCCGGAACGGTACACGAGGGGGTGGGTGGCCAGCACCACGCCCGACCGCCTTTGTCTCCCCAGTGGCGATATTTACACACCGCACCAGGTACTCATTTGAGGCTGAGTCGACCTAGGAGAGGCCCGGGACCGATTCAGATAATCGTCACTGGTGTTGGCCGTGAGCGGGAATCGAACCCGGGTCGCCAGATTCATAGCGCAGCGTAGCGCTAACCGCTACACTACCGCTCCCCACACAACAACAACAACAACCGCCATTCGCCACTAAGTGGCGGTGACGTCACCACGACGCTTGTGCCAGGCTATGTGCACCCTGAGGCCACGTGAAGTGTCGAACGCCCGCTGGCAGAAGGTCACGGGGCAGACCCAGGTGCCACAGGTCGACTGACTGAGACGACTGGCTGATGCACCACCTGTGCCCCCTACTGTGCCAACCTGCTGTGCTTCAGCCACCCGGCGCTCCGCTCGTTGTTGTGAGCGTCGCTCCTCCGCCCTCCGTTGTTGTTGGAGGGCGACTACCTCCAAGTGCCCAATAGCGTCCTTCACGAGCCTCCTCCACAGAGGCGCATATTTACACCGCTGGTACCAGTCATCGGCAAGTCCACTCAGCTCCACGTCCTCCTGTACCACATCACTCCATCTCTTCTCTAGCCTGTGCCGCGCCCGTTTAGCCCCCTCAATCCGGCCGAACAAAAGCTGTTTAGGCATGCGGTGGCTGGGCATGCGGGCAACATGACCCAGCCAACGCAGCCTTGCCTGCCGGAGGAGCTCACACAATCTTTCAAGCATTTGTGAGCTCCTCACACAATCAAGTCTGGTTAAACCCAGGATGGATCGTAGGCAGGCCAGCCTAAATGTTTCTAACTGGCGAAGATGTTCCATTAGAGGGGTCCACGTTTCGCAAGCGTAAAGAAGGAACGGAATGACCGTGGCCGAGAAAACCTGAAGCTTAGTGCGGAGCGACAGACCAGGTAGCTTCCACACAGCGTTACGCAACCGATGAAAAGATATGGCCGCTCGACTGATTCGGAGTGAGACCTCTGCTGTTAAACTGAAGCCGGTCATAAGCACACTGCCCAGGTATGGGAAACTCTCCACTCTCTCCACAACTGCCCCATCACCGATTGGGAGTTGTGGGGGTGGAGTGTCCGATCGTACAAAATACCCAGGC